TATGAGTAGATTTGATTTTCGAAATTGGCTAGATCGTTTATCTGTTGACCTAACTTGTCATCCTTTATAAGGTGCTCATATCGTCGACACGGATGTATAACGAACGAAACGCCAATTTCTGCGGGTATAAGTCTTAAATTGTCGTCAAAGAATCCGTTATTTCGCAATAGAAGAATGATGACCAGTCTGTTTAGTCGGACTTGGTCACTGGGGCTCTGCAACACCGATTCTTTTTCGAGCTGAAAAACGTATGGCCTCTGGACACTGAATATATTAAGAGAAATGAATGATATTGATTACCTTGCATGACGCGTTCTTATATTTTTCATTACTTTGCGTCAGCAAAAAAGGGTGATTTCCATTGTTTTCATTTCATACAACTTATCTAAAATAACAAAAATGTGACGATACCTACATGGTTTATATCTCTTATTGTTGTTAACATTCACTAAATTGAAAGAGGTGATATATTTTAGGAGAGATTCGTTTTTGGCGAAGAATTAAAATTCAAAATAAACTCTAAACAAAAATGTGTAGATCTTGCACAGTTTTTTTTCAGAAATAAACTGAAAGAAAAAACCTCTAAACGACTACTTTCACGTGAACATTGGATCACATGAAAGAAAAGTCCTTTCGAAACAACTACTAAGTTATGAATCACACATAAAACACTTTTTTCATAAGTATGTTTTTTAAACATTCGTTATAGAATTGAAAAGTTATACAACATGATAAATGGAAGAGCATTGATATGAAATTGCACTTACATGGAAGTCTAGCATCCTTAAGGCGTACTTCTCGAAAATTAGTGTTTCCAACGCCTCATCGATATAGTCGAAGAAAACAATATTGTGAACATTTAAAGTTTGCGGCACTCTCGAAGACCAAAAAAACCATTACATAGAAATGAACCGGCTGTGAAATAGTCCACTGTAGACTGCAGAATTTTTGGTTCGTATTGGATAATTTTTACTAATCGAGTTTTATGATTGGCTGAAGAGTCATGTTACGGTGGCGAATAGAAATCATGGAACGCGGCCTTGGTTATCGCCGTCGTCTTCAGTTCAGGAACTGATCGCGATTTGAGTGTTGAAATTCGATAATGGTGCAGTTATACTTAATTACTTAAAATTTTTGTTATCTGTTCAAAATGGGCGACCTTGGACAAGTACTAATAGTAATAACGAGTGTTATAACAACGCAGACTTTTTCCAGTGTAGTGATTCCAATAACGATGGTGAAGAATGCGAAAAAGAGATACCAATGAATACGATTCGAATGCATTTGAATATTGAAACACAGAGAGTATGTTTCAATGTATATAAGAATCTACATCTCAAGTTTAGTTTCAAGGGAAATAAACTATTACAAGCACCATCAGATTTGTCCGAAATTCCTTTCTCAACTGTACGTGAAATAGTCAAGAACAAACCTTATGAACGCAAGACGCGATGTGATAAAGGATTACCAAAATTTTTAGATGTTCACCAAATAAAATCATTGATAAAAACAATATACGACTGTTATAAAAGCAATGAGATTCCTACAACTGAAATCATAAGGAACAAATTGAATACTTCCGGCCATAACGTGAGCTGCTGTGATAAAACTCTTCAATTGGATAAATAAACTAGGATTTAGTTTTGAAATAATAAACAAACGTCAAGCAGTTATGGAAAGCAGAAGAATAGTAGAATTGCGTAACAAATACTAAGAACAAATAATTAAATATAGACAAGAACAACGGCAAATTTTCCATTTGGACGAAACTTGGTATGACACTTACGGCACAGTTACGAAAGGGTGGATTGATAGTTTGAGAATGTGTACGCCTAACATGCCTGCAAACGAAGGATCGCGTCTAATTATTGTGCATTGCGGATGAAGTAAAGGATGGGTTCCGAATTCTTTGAAATTATATGGAAAAAACTTGAGGACTGCAATGTTGACTATCATAAGAACATGGAAGCTAATATTTTCGACGAATGGTTTGAAAACACATTGATCCCAAATTTGGATGCGAATAGTGTACTAGTTCTTGACAACGCTTCCTATCACTCGTGACAGCTCATCAAAGTACCGAATAAAAATTCGAGGAAAGATGAAATACAAAGTTTTTCAATGGAAACGATTGGAGATTGGATACTTTCATATTAATGGTGAAAATACATTCATTATTGATTTAAATGATGACAGCGGGTATTTGATCCGTGTATGTGATATTATCTCTAATTTCACCGACGTTTCGACAAAATCTCATTTGTCATTATCAAGGTGTGCTGTTACGTGTTCAGAAATTTGTTGACCTTGCTCAACTCACTTCTTACTATAATGGTAAAATGGTATTCGTTATGTGTTCAGAAATAGA